CCAGGGGGGGCCCAAGCAGCTGGCCTTGTGAGACTGATCTTCGTCTGGCCTCTACCCGTTGACCTTTCAGGCATGATTGGATCTACGGCTGTGAAAAGCCATCCTGTGTAGCTCGCAGGATCATGGAGGCGCGCAAGCCATCACACCACGTCAAGGTGCAGTCTCGTCGTGATGGCATTACTCCTGGACGGTAATCCTCATCACTCAATAATGATGTATGTGGTAATACTGGTAAGTAGCGTGCCTGATTGTAGGATCTTCTTGTTTCGTATGAGTCATCCCTCAACCAACACCGCTTATGGGAAACCGCCAACTTCTTCATCGTGATGGTCTCAAATCGATCACATCGCCATCGGCTACCGCTGGCACGCAAACCCCTAAGCGCCAGCTCATCATGAGTCTGAGGAATGAGAAGTGGTGGGTATCGAAGTGCATACAGATAGAGAAACATGCGGCCATCGGCAATAGTCGCAACCTTTTTTCGATTAATTAGAAGTACAGGTCCAAGAAAAGTAGGCGTAACTGAGTTGATTAAAGAGTCTGACGGCACATTGATTCACACATAGCAACGCTGTGTAGATTGATGGATATAACATTTCAAGGCACAACTCATTTGGCCCCCGTTGACACAACCTCTCAATACCTGTTTCAACGGTGCAAATACTACAGGTAAATATCAATCCTCCATCTAAAGTGGAGGTTACCTGAGAAATCGTTTATCGCAAAACGTATAAGGTCCTCCTACGGATGGGTTCTCCCTTTCGGTTTTTAAGGACGAAGGTTCAGTGTTGGTTTTGTAGTTGATGAAACTCCTGATCTTTCTTGCGAACAATACTTCCAGCTCGGAGAATTCACCAACATCCGCAACCCGAGCTACAATCATTCCACATCGTTACATGAGCTTTTCTGGATAAAGTTAAAATGCTAGTGCTCGGTATGCGTTTTGCACCTTCAAAGTGTAAAATTTTGCTATAAGATCGAGTTGATCCAGCCCCCAACCTCACTTGAATTGGGGAAGTAGTAGACGGAGTAGACAAATTTTTCTATTTGTGCAGCTATATCCAACCTGGTAGACGCGTCACGAGGCTCGGTTGGCGTTTGCCACCTTTAGACATTTGTGGCGCTGTCGCGACATCCGGCTGTTTGCGAAGGGTCGAGTATATACTGCAGCAGTTCGATCAGGGCTGCCATACGGTTTGGAAACTTTACCATTATAAAAACAGGATAAACATAAACTGTCGGTGTTTAAATACTGCTGTCTACTCCTCATTACACGAGTCTGGTGGGGCAGCCGGACGAATAATGCTGAGGTTAGGCGTAGATTTTAGGTAATACTGGTCGGACCTCATAGACCACGGGAGTTGGGACATATGTTACGCATGTCACCAAGTAGGTTGCCACGGGGCGCGACGTTTACCGGAAGCGGCTTGTAAAAGGTTAAGGGTGGTTAAATCAAGACCGGGTTTGAGGATTTCAAAACCGTAACTAGGACACTGGGTCTCATAAGTACCGTTAGGCTATCCGTTTTGGGTAGTCTAAATCAAGGTAACTGGTGGTTGGAAACACTGAGTGTTATGGCTGAGTGTCGCAAACCATAGCGTTGGTGAATCTACATATTATCTTTGCAACCTTAGTCCATTTTTATTATCTGGCTACTGTGACTCTGTTCTCAGCATACCAATGTTTATTCTACTCTCTTATCCATACGGGATGCTAAAAGACAGCAACCAAAACCGGCGCATGAAAATGCATGATAAATAGTTGTCAAAACTGACGCTGAAACTCTTATTGTGGATATTCAGTTTTCTCAGTAAGCCAACCATCTCTGTTCGAGTCGATGGGTTTCTATCTCAGCCGTTCCCTGAGAATGCTAGTGCTCCCCGAGGTTCAGTTATTGTGCCTAACCTCTTCTATTTATTACTGATTTTTCCGAAACTTTATCCAATCCATTTGTTTGCCCATGACACCACCATCCACCATCCGTACCACATTATTCGTCATACCAATACTAACATACACCATCATCTTAATGCTTTTGAATTGGTACTGGCCTTTTATCTAGAACACATTTCTTGGTCCAACGACCATCACGTCTCTTCCAATGCTTGGAAAACTTCCATTTCAGTGTTTCCGAAACTCCATTCTTTCTCTCCACATTTATCGTTTGGTTCAACTCAGCTGCGTTCCACAGACTGCCTATCTTCCCGGATTAAATTTAACTTCTACATGCTAGTTCCTGTTGACATCTCAGCTTGCTTCACGTGATGCGCACAAGGTTGGTTTCCAATGCCGCGCTAGAATTTTCTCCACCCCGGCTCATTTCCTTCTCTGCAATACTCAAATCGGTCCCGCTCTTGAATATTGCGCCCAAGTATGTGACGGGTCTTCGTTGTCTACTGTTTCCTTCCTGGTCGTGTTCAATGGAAGACCATTCGGTTGATCGATGATCCTTTAAGTTCCAGTGTGCGGTTACTAGTCCATCGTCAGACGGTCAGTTCACTATCTGTCTTCTACCGTTACTATTTTCGTTTTTTGTTTGTTCTTCGGAGGTTGCCTTGGCAGTTCCCCCTGTAACTTTTGCCCGCCAATTCAGGACACCGAAAGCTAGTCTTTCTCATCAGTTTTCAGGAATTAGATGTCGTACTTCTCTACTTCAATATTTCCAACTCAAGTTACGAAGTTGTCGAAGACCCTTCCATTCTTTGCCTTTGTATCCTTTTATAATCTCTCGCTCTTCAAACTGAATAAAAAGCGGAATCTGAAGTGGATGTTCCCGTACTCTCTCTCCCTTTTACGGTATGCTTTTTTCTCCCCTGGTACTGCAATTCACACGAACTCTTACAAACAAATTTCACCTAAAATTCAAGGTTCTTACTGTCAAGTCTGTGAATGAGCATGAGTCAGAAGTGCGGTTCATCAATAACTAAAAGAATAACATTCGTGTTAATTTTTTTCCGACAATGATCGGCTATTAGGATTCATCATCGCTTTGAGCGTCGATCCTCCGTTTGCGATTAATCTTGACACAACTATCGAGGTTGTATAATACTCTGATCATCCGAATAGGTTCTGACCATTAGTATGGGGACGCTAGATCAAATGGCTACGGAATGCGAACGGTATCACTTTCGTTTTCAATCTTTGTCTCATCTGACGGCTCGATAAAATATTCACGTATAACATCTATGTGCATCTTGTGTAATGGTCCCAGTGTTTCGCTCTGTTAGCTTTTTCCGTTCGTAACTGTATTGTTGTGTAAGGTCCTTCCTCTTCACAGTGACTAGTTCGGTTTTGCTCGGCGGTATTTTGATACTGAAGAAAAATTTGGAATTTTCTTTTTTATTTTACTCGGTGTAACCCGTGCGCTCTAATGACACCACATAACGTGAAGCGACCTACCGCGTTATAATTGAATTCTGCCTTTCCACCTGCTACTTTTACTTTTCCGCTTCAGATTGAACGTTTCGAGTGCCACGGGAAATCCCCGAATCACATTGTCCGATACGTTTGATTCGGTACACAAAGTTCGTCGTTGGTTCATCGACATCCCAGCCGGTTCTAGTGCTGGAGGTTTGTCTTATTTGAACGATTCGTTGCATTGTTCTCTCTCTGTCTGTGTTTATTCTTCGTTTGCATTTACATGCGACGGGGTTTTTGAGGTCGACTGTGCTTTACCGCCTCATGATGCTGTTAAGGAAATAACGACCCATCTTGTACAGTTTACGAGAAGACTTCGCGATTGGTAATCCTTTTCTTACTTTTCATAATCTAATCAGTAACACACTCCCTTAATGCTTGTCCATAGTCAGTTTAGGTAAGGGGTACATACATGCAGGTTTTTTGCATGGACCTCAATCTTTCCCTTTCGGTTCACCTCCCCCTCACTGAAAACATGCCGAGGTAAATGTAGTTGAAGCAGGATCATCAAGGGGCAGGGTCATAGCGACCTGATTGTCCAGGGTTATACAAAGATTCAGCCCCATTCAACTCTGGGATAGCCTTGATGTCCAAACCGTCCACATGCTGAAATGTTTTTTCATATTGACATTCATTTACCATCATATGATACTTTCAAAAGTTCTTAAAGGATGCTGGTCCGGTTTTGAGGGCTACCAATTGAACACCCGGGAGGACGTGTGTTCCAATCCAACCACCACAGTTTGACTTCGCCCATTTTCTGTGTTGTGTGGCATCCCTTTGATTGGCTGCTTTCCCCTTCCTGAGAATTGCATTATTGTTTATTCAATCAAATGAAGTGAAAAAATTGAAAATCCAATGAGCCATATTCTTAGTCTTCATCTCCGATTCACTCCTTTAACTTTTCTATTCTGAGGATGGTATATTATTATTATATTTCACACACGTCTGAATCCAGACTGTGTGCCAAACAAATCATGGTACAGTAAACTTTATAAAAAGAAAAACTTCCATGATCCGCTTGTGGGCTGAATACTACCAGGTTGCCCAAACCAAGGCAGGTGAATTTTATTGGGGAATTCATAACCAGAGCCTTCGGATAGCCAAAGCCTGACTCGCAAGACAGCGGGGCGGTGTCCAGTTCATCGAATCATGCGCCCTTTGGACGAGGTTAAACGTCCAAGTTACCCCATACACCTCGATGCCCAATGGAGCCGGTGACCACTGCCACAACCGAAAAGGTATGTGTGTTGTTCGTACACCTCCTCTTAGTTGGTTTGGAATCAGGGTTTTTAGCCAACTCCCCTAGGTGAAGTACCGGTGGTCCATCAACCGGGTTATAGCCTCGGATGTCGGCTTTTCGTCCTCTCACTGGTGTGAAAACACCTCCGTCACGAGAAAACAGTGAGTGGGACTTCCCCAGCAGAGGCTATTTGAGACGCTTGGTCGTATAGGAGCATTTGGCTATTTGCGATGGCGGGGTGACAAGCCGCAACCCTAGATATCCACCCCCGACCACACTGAACATTTCGGAGAAACTGTGGATGGCATTCATGATATTGGTCTATGATAGGCTGTTCGATACTGTTTATTGGATCAATACCAAATACAGAGTTATAGAAAGCTGTAACTTTACAACAAATAGAAAATTCTTCTTGAAACTACTTTTAAGGGCAACAACCAGGGGACACGGATTTTCAATAAAACCAAATCTTATGAGCTTATGTTACGGCTGAAGTAGAACCCATTTTTAGTCTGTCTTCCTCGTTCTCTCGAGAACCTTTTTCTATCGGTTTGTATTATGTAAAACATTTCAGGCTGCAAATCTCGGGACAGTCTCCATCTGGGCCTCTATTGAAACGAAAAAAATGTTCACCTACAAAGTATGACGTTTGTGTCAGTTTTTGAAACCGAAATGGTTCTTCATCCCCTGGTTTGCTTTGTATTTTTCCGTCAATTTGTCACTTCTTAGTAATCCGATTGGCACGTTTGGACGAAAACGATGTGGCTTGCGAATTCAAAGTTAGCATTTGCATGCCACAACCACGAAGTGGTCTCACTACTGGGCAACAAGAAACAACTTGGCCCTTGATCACTCTGAATCGATGCGGACGTGGTACGATTTCTTCCGGACGGCCGCGCTCAGGAGGACGACGTATGGCGGACGATTTTGATGGCGCTGTCCAACTGGCCTTCGCTATCCCGTGGGAGGCTGACTATTTAGAATTGACCATCGCACAACATTGGGGACTGGAACCTCCGGCCACTGTGATTGGAGAGTTGTATTTCCGTGGTTTGGAGCCCAACGGACCTCATCTATTCATGGTATTGTTAATCGATTTATTTCATCGTCTATGTGGTTTCTTGTTCCTGTCTGGGATTATTTGGTTAGAGTCATTGTTAGCGGATTTCACGTTAGGTTTAATTTTCGGTTTCCCCACTGGTTTCCACCCCTCTGCAATACATATGACAGTATGTAAACTACGTACTGCTATTATGTGTCTGTGTATCCATCAGGTATAAATCAACGTGTTCTGGTGCTAAGTCCCACGATGTGTACCTCATGCAGTGGCATGCAAACTCAAATGAATTTGACGTTTGGAATTGACTCGGTCATTTCCCTACTGACGATGGTTTCCTCTCGCTCACCCCTTTCGCAGAAGTTCGTCTGCGTCAGCCAAACGAAATGTGGAAACTTCTACGGCTGCTCAACAGCAAAAAATACCAAATCACTTTCACTCACTCAACTATTGCTACATACTTTAATCGCAGTAGTGCCGAAGGGTCGAGCCATTCGATGTTGTTGGCCCTGATTTCATAGTGGTTTTGAAAGAGACTACAAGACAATAAGTGGATGAACGAGCTTACAAACCATTTGGTTGTACTAACCTTCCCATTTAGTGGAAGGCTTTCATCCATCTGCGGTGAACTCGCCGTTCACTGGGCTGAATAAACTTTGATTTCTAATTACAGCTACTTGTGAATAGTAATTTTGGATATTTCAACATTTTTTTGTGACTGCCAGCGAATTGGCCCTCAACTTAAGATCATTCAGCAGAACTTTTCCGAGCGTGCCATGATCGGTAAATGTCCTATGATATTACTCCTATGTTTGGTTTCGACCGTCTTTTTTAATGTCAATTGTACACAATGTACAC